GGACAAGCAGGCTAACCCAGATTTTGTGGGTTTCCAGCAATCTTGACCTACACAAAGAGTGGGCATTGCCCTACCTATAGGAGAAGTTTGGTTTCATTGGTGTGTATATTTGTGTGGTTATAGAGAAAACTCTCCTTGTCTTCTAATGAAACTGAATAAGGATCCAAAAAGTTTACCTTCGATTTTCTCAAAACAGCATTTTTCGGGATAGCCCCCTTGTGCTTAAAAACAAAAATATATCCCTGCAGAAAGACTGAGATACTAACTTAGAATAAGATTCTCTCCCATCAGGAATTGAACCTGACTCTTTTTTTTTTTAAAAATAAGAGGTTTTACGCTGCTCGCAACTGCATAACGTCATATGAGTGCCAAGGGGTGGACGTCAACAGAGAAGTCTTTACAGGGAATCAGGCTTACTCTGCTCATCTCTCTAGCTTCAACAGCACAAAGTCTACACTTCAGCTATCAACAAGGCAACCCGGAAATAGCGGGTCACAAGAGAGTGACAAACATACAAAAGAAGCAGAGGAAAATGATGACAGTAAGGATGAGAAAAGAAAAAGCAGCAGTTTCCTGTTGCAATTCCGGCACAGTTATGAGCATGACATTGATGAATCAGCCCATTTACAATTGTACTGTGCAACAGAACATGATAATGTCCCCCCTTTGGGAATGGCCTGGGTCTCCTGTGTGCAAGAGAGGAGCATCCAGCCACTACACCAGAGATGCCAGTTTTATTCAATGTCAAAGCAAAGCTACAATGCAGACACCTTATTGATGAAAACACACAAAAAAAAAGAATGTAAAACAGCCATGGTGCAAAGTAACAAAATGGAAAAGAATGGCAATCAAGACCGCATGTACTGTCTCAATAGTCTGGAATAGTACCACAGTTAACAAAGAAGTACAAAGATCTACACCAGGACTCTTGAGCTTATAAGAAAAAAGTTAGCTGGATTAGTCTTGGAAAAAATAAGTAGCAAAAAGTTGAGAAAAAGCACCTTTCTCTGATTCCACACATACTAAAACAAAAAAACCCTAAAAATTAAAACTCTATTAGACAAAAGTAAATCTGAAAAATTTGCGATTCATTTAATAATGACTAGAAAGTTGTCCACAACCATTCATTCATTGCCGTGTCACCAAACATTTTGTGATATTCAAACAGTTTTGTTTCTGTGCAGAAAAAAAATAGGAAAAGAAATTCTGAAAGCAGACCACATCATACATAACTGCAAACAGTTCTAAAGGTGGACTGAATTACGAATTAGGGTAGGTGGACATTACAGAAAAACAAAAGGTTCAATAAATTTAACCTTTTGGTCTCAAAAAATGGCAGAAACAAAATAAAAATATGATGGATAATTTCATTTGACCCTGCACAATACTATTTAACAATTAAAATGGCACTGTAACAAAATCTTTTCAAATAATGTAAACCAAACTCCACAAATAAATACTCATTTACAATTTTTAAAAACCCTGCCAATTTTAAAAGCCCATGAGCATTAATGACCGACGTATGTGTCACGACGCGTTGAAATCGGGCGCTCGTCAATTTTTGGGCATGTGGAGTTATCGGTATCATCTGAAAGCTGATTTATTTGCCTTGCTTCTATTGTAATAAATATTCATCTATTTTGAATAGAACTCAAGATATTTGCGATTCAAGGAAGTGAGGTCGTCTGGTTTCAGGAATGAAATAAGCGAGAAAATGGCCGCCAAAGTTTGGTAACTCCAGTAGCTCAAAGAGTCCTTGAAAACAGAAAAATTACATATTTTGGGCCTTTAATCAATGATTTTCAGTAAAATTCTCATTGAAATGTGTTTTGATATGGTCTTAAAAGAGGTTGAGCCAAAAAATAAATATTCGATAAAATTTTCCAAACTGACGGGAAAATGCCGGTTTCTCCGGTTTCATTATTTTGACGAGCGCCTGATTCCACCACGCTGCCCCACATGTCACTGATGTTGAGCCAGAACAAAGTGGAGAACATTTTCAAACCTTACAGATGTCACTCATATGAAAACGTCCACCCTAGCAGGCACTGCTCAGCTATTAATTTTTTTATTATTCACAAATCAGCAGTTGTTATGAAAAGAGGACAGACTCAATTCAGCCGTTAAAAAAAATCTCAACAAACCGTGACTTTTGTCAATCTCCAACATACACACTATCTTTTTTTCTCTTCACATACACACTATCAACATCACTAGAAATAGAAGACAGGGATTTCTTAAGATCGAAAAAATCATGGCCGAGATAAAATGGGTGTTAAATGACATTTTTCAAATGCACAATATGAAGTACCTTATATCACCAAATAAAGGATACAGTCGTGGATAAGACACGGGTAGACTTGACTGCTATAATTTGACATATATGCTTATCGGATAAGACGACGCACTAACCTTATCATGGCAAGCACCATCACCTTTGTTAGTGGATTTCCCCCCCATAAACCACACTTCAAAAGAACAAATTGAAGGGGAGAAGGGGGGGGGGGGGGGGTCAAAGGCCCAGCCGGTGGGATCAAGGGTCTTTGTTGTGGTTTTTTTTTTTTGGGGGGGGGGGGGGGGGTTTACTAAATGGTTTTTCATCTGCAGTCTTGGATCTAGATCTACAGTGTATCTATAGATAGTTAAAACGAGCATCATGTTGAACCATTACGATAAAAAGCATTGTTAACCATAGAGGAACACACAGTCTGAGACATAAGTCATTATTTTATCAATTTGCGGATTACAAGACCACAGGCCTTTGTTCCCCCGCCACAACACACACAGGAATTTTTTAGTCTAATTTTGAATCTGACGGACAAGACAAAGCCAACTACGAAACCGAGATTTTTCGGGAGAAAGTTGTATACGCTTTGATATACGGTATATCACGAGTCACTGATTACTACATACACGTAGATTAAGACAAAGGTACATTCCAAACAATAACAAACAAGATTATTCAAGGAATGCTGTAAAAAAATTATGGTGTGGATCAAAGTAAGTAAAACAAAATAATATATGTTTAATGCTATGAAGTAAGTAAAACAAAACAAAGAGTGGAAGCAAAAAGGAGCAAACAAAATCAATATGTCACAACGCGGTGGAATCAGGCGCTCGTCAATTTTGGGGCATAAGGTGTTATTGGCATCATCTTACTTTAGATTTGACAAAATACTCTTCTATCTTGAATAGACACTGAGATATTAGCGATTGAAAGAGGGGAGGGGTCCACTGATTTCAGAGGCATCAGAGGTAGGACTAGCAAGAAAATGGCTGCCGAAGTTAGGTGACTTCCTTAGCTTGAGAGTCCTTGGAAACTGCAAAAATACAGTTTTTGTCTTTTTAAGCTAAGTTTTTCAGTAAATTCACAATACAGAAATGTGTTTTTTTATGAATTTATAAGGTGTTGATTCAAAAACCAAAAATTCGATAAAATTAATTCAAATGAACAGAAAAATTCCAGTTTCTTTTATTTCATTATTGTGACGAGCGTCTGATTTCACTACGCTGCCTCACACACACACACACACACACACACATATATATATATGATAGTATTTTTCAAACTATGTCTGTATACTATAGATGATTTTATACACAATGGTAAAAAAGGAACAAAACCCTGGAGAATTTTTCTGCTACAACTTTCAACAAGCCAATCAACGAAGTGTCAATACATCTGCAGTCTTCAGTCTGTAACATCAACCCCCGCCACCCCCCATTTTCCAACTTGAGAGACAATATGAAGTTGCAAAAACAATAAAACACAGCAAAGGGGTATAACTTAACAACTAATCATCGTTGCTAGCTTTTAACTTTAAAGTCCAACTTACTACCTTCTTTTAGCCGGTACCTTTCTTCCATTTTCTAAATGGTTTCTGAAGGTCGGAACGGCTCAGAAAAGACTGTGAAAGCAGCTGATACAGCTGATTGAAAACATTATATCCTTGAAAAGCAGCACAGTTATCGTATCCAATTCAATCTGATATAATCATCAGCTCAAGAAAAAGACTTTCTTTTCATAGCAGGCAACAACAGAACAGGTCAGTTTGTTTAGTAAAGGTTTTACGGCCCTCGCAGCTGCATAAGGTCATATGAGCGCCCGAAGATTAGTGTGCTACAAGAAAGTAACAAACATAAAAAAGAAGAAGGTAAGATAAGGACGATAGATGTTTGATAGGAAAATAGAAGCAAACCATAACAGAGCACCCGCCAACCACCCACAGAACAGGTCAGTGAAATGAACGGAAAAATGTCATCATTTTAACAACACTTTTATTGTACTGAGCTTTCTTCATTAAACATAGGAGAAATAAAATAGAAACTCAAATTATTTCTACTATGTCTCTAATTCTTTATTATTACCATAAATCTCAGGTCTAACTACACAAGGGGTAGCAACCTGTTTATTGCAAGGGCCGTTTGTATTCAGACGTTGAACAGGTAAATGGATGTACCAAAAAGATCTTGAGAAAAAAAATATTATTCATATAAATACATCTAGCTATAGTTTGCTAGTGTGACCGTTGTGTCAGCCTTTGTGAGAATGACATATCTGGAAAGGATTTCAGCAGTAAAATCAAGGAGAACTAAATTCAGGAAACAATTCACACCACCCGTTAGTAAAGGAAGCAATTTTGAACAATGAAAGTGTCTTCCCGAAATAAAGCAAGTCATTGAAACAGCGGCAATGTTTCTTCCATTCAGATCTCAAGACACAAATAAAAATAAATCACGCGTGTGGTGCGTCGTTAACAGACAGTTGTCAGAGGTAGAAGTGGGTGAAAAGATCGCATACGTCAGCCAAAAATCTTAAATCACCATGGGAATCGCCGAGCCAGTGAGAGAGTCCGACAACAGCTATTTTCAACTCATTGAGGATGTGAAAACTGGTAATTTCTACCAGTTTTTTTGTTTTGTGAGATATTAGGTCATAAAATAGCTGAAGATTAGAGGTATTACTCAAGAGTAACAAAAAAAAAAAAGAGGAGGGGAGATAAGGGCAATAAATGTTTAATAAGTAAGAAGGAGCAAACCATCCCACAGCACCCAACAAACGACCCACATTCTACAAAGTGTAAAAATGTGCTATTTTTTTAAAACACTTTAAAAAAGAAGCAGCATAATTCACACAGATTATTCAGTTGTGCTTTCCATTGCCTGAAAACTTTAAAAAGTTAGGCTTCAACATGCGTACTAGGAAAAATAATTCGTATTTCTGATTTGTGCGAAATGGTTTGAAACATGCCGCAAAATTGTCTTTGGTCTCCTGGTGATCGGACGTATGTGTCTGCTGCGTCCTTAGAGAGAGAAGAAAGCAAAAGTTATCCCTGGCATCAATGGGGGTCACTGTTTCAGTCTATTAAAAGGGGGGAATTATGGCGTAAAAAAATGACGAAGGAGTTAGTACAGCATTTAACGGAGTCATTAATTTTGAACACTATGGAAAAACAGAAGAAAATGGGACTGGCATTACATTGCAGGGCAGTACAAAAAGACCGAGGTGAATTTACAGATCTGAAAGTCGTGAAAGATAGATTAGAACAAATATGCACATCATGAGCGGGCAAACGTTCACGATGTTCATTAGGTTTGATGCGTCCGTGTTCTTGTGAATCACTTAGAATGCAGGAAAACAGGTCAAGGGACTAAACAGCACAGATCTGAAAGTGGAGTCACTATTTGTAGGCCCTTCTAAGTGTCTAGATATGCTATTTTTGGCTCACATACCAAAGGTCCTGACTCTGGACCCAGGCAGAGGAAAAAACGTGCAGGTAACAGTTGCACATTAAAAACAAAAAAGAGCAATTTGTCATTCAGACAATATTCTCAGATTCTAAAAACTACAAAACAAGTTTAAAAGGCTATATATGATTAAATATATGGCTATTATTGTCCCGTCAGCAAGATGAACAAATTTGAAGAAACATTAGTAACGCTCCTAATAACAAAAATAAATTGTATCTTTCTAAAAACTTGGGTTTGCAAAGCCCACAACAACAGCTGCACTGTACGTGTAAGTGAAGTGATCTGAGCTTGCGCTGAAGTTAGTTACAAAGTAAGGAATGTTAAAACTGAAATATATATACTGTACACACTTGAGGGACTGGGTTGGGGAATAAGAGAGAAAGAGAGAGAGAGAGAGAGAGAGAGAGAGAGAGAGAGAGAGAGAGAGAGAGAAAGAGAGAGAGAGAGAGAGAGTCAGAAATTGTCTTGTGATCATGTGTCGAGACGACCAACTACACAAACACATCAATTCTCGGAAGCAAGACGATTGTAAAACGTCAAATAAATAAGGACTCACATTTTGCATTGGGCATTGGCCCATTGCTGTCATCGTCATTGATTTGGAAGTCAAAGATGACAAAAATTGATCTCATTTTCTCCATCTTTCTAATAAAATTTTTTTTTTAAATGAGGGATGTTCAAACTAAAAGTACAACTCCCTGATTTCGAAATTTCTTTCTCTGACAGAAGAAAAATGCCTTCCCTTATGATATATTACGAGAGACATACATATTGTAACTGTCTCAGAAGTTACTTTACACACAATACACTGTCTCATGTCAAAAACACAGTCTGGAAAACAAAACAACCCGAAAAAAATTCAGTCTCCTGACCATTTTTCTCTTCTACTGGCTAGTAAGATAAACATCCTTATAAACATAAGCTGTAGACCAACCAACAAAACAAGAATTGTAATGCTTGATCGACTTATTATAAAAACAAAACCCAAAAAGACGACATCTTTTGTCTTAAAAGACAAAGCTTAAAACTGAGGAGCACAGGCCCAGAAAAGGCTTTAGAAGAAAAGAGTAATGGACATAACACGACATTATGAAAAAGAGATGTATCAGAATCTGCTGGAGCACATCGAAACGAATGTACGATGTCCGTAGATGCGGCAAAATTCTCCTACTGCTGAGAACTTCTTCTGAGAGCTCCCCATGCTTGTAGTAGTAATCTAGGAGCGCATCCTTCTCACAATAGCGGTCGTACAACCAGGAGGTCAAGGCCTCTTCATCGCGGGGGATATCCTTCGCACGATAAGCTCTGAAAAGAGAAAGACGAAAGATGTATTCATCTCCCCTTCTTGTAACTGGTTTTTAAAAAAGTAATTTTAAACGCTAACTTTGTAAAGGGCTTGATATTAATGAGGCTGCAACAAAACAAGAAATGGAGCATTGGTAGAAGGTTCAGTTCAATTGTAAGGTCATTTTGCAATTTAATGCTTCTCCCAGGTTTTGACACATATATGCTTAAACTGAAACACAAAACAATATTCAAACATGGTGCTGAGTAGATGTAAACCATATTCAATCATAACATGATAGGGATCAGACCACACTGGTCTACACTTAAAATCTTAAAATGATGACAGATGGGGGCAAATCTGGATAAGGTGTGACAGAAAATGCTGTTTGGAAAGAGTATGAAGGGACGACAACAATATATACAACACAGACATAAATTTTTAAAAATTCGGAGCTCTTACTTGTAATGGAGAAGGACATCCTCCTGAGGGTTATACCCTATGCACATTCCTAAAAAATCCAAAGGCTTTCCATTTTTGTAGGCGATCGTGATATCAATAATCCATTTAAGAGGTAACTGGTCGTCCGCAAGCTGATGGTCGCTGGTGACATTAGCAGCCTCCGGTGAGAGGACAGGGCCACCTTCCTCAGTTGTGCTCGAGGATACAGGATCATAGGGTTCCCCGATGGTATCAAGAATCACTTTTACTGCCCCAACCCTGGGCAGTGTAACATGCTGCAGCACTGGATATCCATTGGCTCGGGCGTACCTGAGGATCATGCATGGATGTAACAAGTACTGAATTGAATTGACCTCACATTTTATACTTTAAAATTTAAAGACTACACAGACTGTGCATCATTATTATATTTCAAGCCCTATATCAAAAGCAAGAATGATATAATCACATATCTAGCAAAGAAATATTTTATGCTTTTGCCAGTGGATGAGAAACAAAGGAACTCCTGAGGGCCCTGTAAAAAAATGCTCTGCCTAAACGACAAATCATTTTTGCAGTATCATAATATTTTTCAAATTTTCATTCAACAGCAAGAGGAGTAAAATGAACAGTATCTGTGTGCTTGATAAATCTGAAATGGCACAGTCAGAATCTATTTTGACACAGAAAAAGTTAAATCCACTAAGCTGAACATATATATCATTTTCCGACAACCGTACTGATTGAGGCTTCGATTATTAGAGTTCTAGCTGACAAGGACTTGAATAAAATCGAAAATGAAAACAAGAAAAAGCAATGTACTTACCTTTGGCTAGACTCGAGCCTTTTGTACAGAAACCCTCCTTCTGGGAATACTATAATCCATTTACGGTCATGGGGGAGGTATGACTCTTTCAAATGCTTCTTCAAATTCTCAAGCTGAAGTTGGCGAGTCTCTTTGCCCTGGATAAAAACAACAACATTAGTAAAAATGTATTCACACACACACACACACAAAAGGGAATTTGGATAAGATAAGATACATCTTTATTGTCCAGATCCTGGCATATTGGTTTGGTGTATACAACACACACACATACACACAAACATGCACACACACCCAGGCTTACAAACACATGCATAATATAAAAGATCAGCAATATAAACAATAATAATCTTAAGCTAGATACACACTCAAAATTATTCTGATACATGCTCTAAGGTCATATGAATACTTACACAAGATGGTTAAGATGGAAGAATTTTGATGGATAATGGTAAAAACGACCTTCTGTATCTTTTTTTGTAAAGGATCAGAGGTCTAGGTCTTTTACTTCTGACTGATGTTTTTATTTGAGGGAACAAGTGATGTTTGTAGTTTAAACAGATGGAATTAATTTTTTTTAGGGCAAACTGTTATGTACAATTCATCAAAGTAGGGGAATGTAGATGTTGAAATTTTACATGCTTTCCATATTTATAGTCGATTTAATTTTTCTTTATCTTGTACTTGTTGTCTTGTGTTCCCGGCCCATGCTGTTATACAAAAATTGATAATATTTTCTATGGTTGAGTGATAAAAGTAAAAGTAAGGAACAACAAAGCCAATACTAGCAAAAAAAATAAATCTGGAGACTGCCACAAGAACTAAACACTTTTCAAAACCAGTTACATTCATCAACAAGATCAACTTTCTTAACAACTTGGCTTGACAAAACTTTTTCACAGATCTTTGTCAGTTGTATTGCTGGGCAGATAACTTGTCAGAACATCTGGTAACAATCTAAATATAGAAGAATCTTGTAAGGACCATAATCAATCATTAACACTTAAATCTAGACTATAATTATAAAAACCACATTGAAAGTTTTCAAGCTGAGATTAAGATTTTTTTTAAAAATGATGAGTTTGTCAAGCATTCAAAAAGAGTTTATGTTGAAATCGTTCAAAGTAAAGCAACATGATAACTGAGTGAAACCAGGGCACTCTTTTAACCAAATAACATTTTCAAAACAATCAAAACTATACCTGTAGAAAGAGTGGCACATGAATTGCACCTCCCGATATTTCTTACCTGGTCAATAAAAAAGTCCTCTCGGTGAACAGAAACGAGGCCAAAGTTGGTGAACTTGAAGAGGATCCACATGATCCACATGGTGGTGCCACAAGCCAGACCCTTGAGGTAGCTGGCCAGGAAGAGAATAGGCGTGTCTCCTGTGGACTGATGGTTACTCAGGACAATGGCCTCTTTGTCGTGAAGCAGTCCAATGTCGTCACCGCATTCAATGACTGGAGGAAACAAAGCAACAATAACAATTGAATGAATATATATATTATATGCAAATAGGGCCCAGAGAAAAATAAGGAATGCCTGCGGATGAATTTTTGTGCGTTTGCTGTAAATGTGACGTGACATCCAGTCAAATTTGTAGATTTTCAGCTGATGTCATTTTCTCCAAGTTTAACATGTCTTTTAAACTTTTATTCTTCTAATTCTTCTATTTTGTTGGAGAAATATTCTCCTCTGCAGATGTATTGGCATCAGAATTGACGGATGAGCTATTATTATTTGCCTGTCTTTTATCATATCATAATAATAAAGTGTAAAACCTCAACTGTTCAACCTACAAATTTAATGTGTATCTATATCTGCTAGACTAAAATCTGAAAAGCAACTTATTTTGTCAGCAAACCTCACAAACACAGTTTGTAACAAACAATTATGATAGAAGATAAAACAATACAGTTTGTAACAAACAATTATGATAGAAGATAAAACAATACAGTTTGTAACACAAACAATTATGATAGAAGATAAAACAATACAGTTTGTAACACAAACAATTATGATAGAAGATAAAACAATACAGTTTGTAACACAAACAATTATGATAGAAGATAAAACAATACAGTTTGTAACAAACAATTATGATAGAAGATAAAACAATACAGTTTGTAACAAACAATTATGATAGAAGATAAAACAAAATGTCTACGAAAACCACAACGGGGAGAAAATAAATCAAATATGCACAATTTATGATTGTTAAAAAATAATATAGATCTATATCCATTCAACCCGATCAGGAAATCAAAACCTGATCAGGAAATCAATGATAAATTTTTTTGAAAAAGAAAATGAACAACAAAAACAAACAACAACGAAATCACTAAGCAAAAAAGCAGCTGTACACATGATATTAAAATAATGGCATCTGAATCAACACCTGACAGTCCTTTCTTTTTTTTGTAAGTGTTTTACAGTGCTTGAAACTGCATATAAGCGCTCGGGATATATTAAACATATTCAGTTTGGTAGGAATTTTGAATTTTGCTCGGGTGGCAGCCTAAGCCTACTCTTGTCCATTTTAGGACCAACAAGGGATATTTACACCGGACCTCCAAGATTTTCCGCCCTCAGCCGAGAAGGCTAGGTGTTAGACTGAAAGACAGCAGTAAGAAGGAGCCAAGGCGATGGAGTAGAAAGGTTGCAGAAAGAGTCAGGAGCCCAGAAGAGGGGGCGAAGGGGGTGGGAGTGGGTGCAAAAAGTAGAGGCGAAAGCAGACGACAACAGGGTTAGAGATCAGGAAAGGAAGTGAACCGAACACTCTACCCTCTAGACTACGACAATCTCCCCCCCCCCCCCAAACAGTCCATATGACAAAACATGTGACAAAGAAAGAAAAGAAACATGGTAGAACAGTAGATGAACTCAAAGGGAACTCTTACCTTTGTAGCCGCCAGAGTCACACCATGTGATCACCATGCACTCCAGCATCTTGAACATGTGGGCCTCCATCCACCAGTAGGTTTTTGGAGCCAGGAGGCGCAGCGGAGTCAGAAGTGTCATCCATACCATGTAGGTTGGGAAGGCGTACAAGTTAGTGATGATGAAGATAAGAAGCCTGAACCCATATCTCAAATAGTCGTTCATAGTGCCAGTCTCGCAGTAGCTTGTAATGTAAGTTCCTTTGTGAATGAAGATCAAGTATCCTGCAAAATTTTTTTTGTAAGCATTGGTTATTACGGACAAAAATGCTGACAATGAAGTGTGAGTTCAAAAGCGATATGTGTAGCATCATGATTCGTCCCACCCCTTTAGCAAAGACCATTTGAATACAACAGTGTTTCAAGGATGATGCGATGGCATATCCAGAAAGATTCCCCATTTTCAAGGACAACCGATCATGGGGTTGAACAAGCCATACTACACAAGTTGCACAAAGCAATGAACGGGGTTCCTAGGCCCCAGATCCATTTTATATACCTGCCACTCTATGAAATCTCAAAATCAGGATCTCAATGGGAAAAAATCGGGATCAAGGGGAAAAAAAATTGGGATCAACGACAATCACCAGGGTGACTGCCAAGCTGACTTTAAAATGTTCCAAGGGCGTCCATAAATATATAACAATGAAGGCAGAGTATGTTTTTAGAAAAATACAGCGGAACAGACAGAACAAAAAAATAGAGACACAAGCGATTAAAATCGCAATACTTGAGATTGGGAGAAAAAAAAATCGGGATATCCCGACTAAATTGTGATGAGTGGCAGGTCTGCATTATACACCATTAACGTATCATTTTAAAAAATAAGCTTTTCACCTCAAAGAAAGCCAAGTTATGCCACTATAGACTCCCTAACCCCAAATAATGATACAGTCAAACCTGCCTTTACAGAAACCTGTCATAATGGATTCTCCGTTTCCCTCCTCATAAAATTCTCTATAAATTTATAACTACGTCTATAAAATGAAAAACCTATCTAACACGAACAAATGGAAAGACAAATTTCTTCCCTTCGGAGGGTTTTTACCTGTTTAAGCCAGTAAATGCTTTGCCCACTCAACCGTAATTTGAAACAAAACTATCAAGTTTGGCTCCATCGGCTCTAATCTTTACACCATGCCGCCAGGCGAGGAATGGGAGTAGGGGTGCAATTTGGGGGTGGACGTTACCTAGTTACACCATCCACGTGAACTCTGAGCAGTGCAGATGGTCATGTTGGTGTGGGTGAGAAATCTCAACAATGCCCGTGAACGTGCTAGCATTTGTATAGAGCAAATCCCCGCTAAACAGCAAGCTCTACGCGCTTCACAATCTACACTATTACCCCAGCAGACCTGAGAATATTCTGAAACTATCCCAACTTCTTGGGAAGCATACAGTGCAAGCCGCCATTTATAGGCGTCAAAACACTAACATACTGACAAGTTCATTCACTGTCTATGGCCGGGTACCCAATCCCACCAGGATAGCACTTGAGAGGTATTAAGTTTTGACTACTGCTTGCCGGCCGGACAAACAAACCTTGATCCTACCAACTGGGCCTCTGCAACCTACTACTAAAAGCTTACCGGGCTAAGAGTCCAGACCGGCGATTGCAATGATGCCCACTGATGCTATATACAGAGGGAATTTTACAGAGGATGATAGTGATAAACTAGCAAAAGGCATTCGGCTGAGGGAGTTTGGGAAGCCAAAACAATACAACCTCCCCACCCCCCCCTCCCTTTTTCCACCACCTCGGCCAGTTTCCCACTTAATTGATGAGGCTTTTGAGAAGTGTGACTTTAAAAGCATAAATGATTATGGCCAGGAATTGTGAGTTATAAAGTTATTATTACGTTCAATGTGTGTGCATTTAGTACACCGTTGTGTCTGATTCTAGTTGCATGGGACAGCCTCATGTCATTGGTACAGCATTAACTGTTTCTTCAGACTATCATAATTTAAGCTCTTTAACATTAAAGCTAGAGGAGGAACAAAGATGCTCTAGGTCTCAATATAAAATGCATATTGGTAAGTGCTTTGTGTGATGGTGTGTGTGCGTGTGTGTTTGTGTGTGTGTGTGTGTGTGTTGAGAGGTATAGCAAAGACACGTTAGGAGTAGGGGTAGGGGTTTTAAAATGGAGAGTACTGCTGTGGTCTGATAAAATGCATTTTCCTCAAAATCAACTTTTCAGGGTAATCACGATTTAGTGTTTTTTGTTAATTAAACAAACAAATAGCAAAGTTATTTTTGCTTAGCTATCCCACATGAAGACATATCTCATTTAGGCCAACCATGACTAAACCAAATTTAATCGAATTTGAGCTAAAGACAAACAAACAAATAAAAAGAATGCATTTAATCAGATCACCCTTGTAGAAATGCGTTTTATTTTCAACGCATTAATCCCAGAATGATCTGACAAACGCATTTATTTTCTGCGTCTCGTTACACAGTCTTGATGAAATTACGGACCGAAAGGCGAAGTAGTGACCTGCCAAAATACCGATGGTCGATACGCAGACAAAAATGTCTTTCATAAGATCATGGCAGTTGTGGATGGTCGATACGCAAGAAAAAAAAATGTGTTTCAAGGGATCACCTCTGAAAAAATGTGTTTCATCAGATCACCATTGGAAATAAACGCATTAAAAAATAATGTTAATGCTAATTTATTAAAAAACTAGTCACAGTCAGGCTGTCATATTGATATCTCAAGATGGCTTTCGATATGTAGAATTCATTAGTGGAATAAAAAATGTTCCTGCCAAAATGATTAAATGCGTTTTATTTCAGATCACGATAGAGTAATGTGTCTGTGTGAGTGTGTGTGTGTGTAGTGTGAGGGGGGAATAAACGGGAGGCGGCAGGAAGAGTTGATGGGAAGGCGTGAATGGCGCAGCTGGTCAGTTCTACACACCACCAGCCGCCTTTGTGCTTTAGTAATCAACAAAATTAAAAAATTGATCATCGGATTAAAAATTTGTACTATATGGCACTATCACTATGGATGAAGTAAGACATGGGGTAGTAGGTTGAAGAATTTATATAAATAAGATATTTTACAGATCCCTGATGAAAGAGAACATGGCGAGCTCGTTGTTGTCAAATTAAAAGGATCGGGAGGGGGGGGGGGGTGCGTCAGGGTTTGTGCGGCCATCATGCTACTTATTTAAGTTTATGAAAGTCGATCTAGATTTTATTCAGTGTAGGCAGAGATCTGTAATCTCCGGTAAATTTTTACTTCCACTCCTGCACACAGACAGATTATCATGAACTGCCTTTGGGGGCAGGAATTCCTTGATGTACTATGAAATAGAGATAGGTTAGGTAGGTCTCTGTTTACAGTGTTTATTGGGGTGGTCACTCGTTACAAATGGAAATCCTTCCCTTTTAATTTTAGGGATTTAACAGTCATATATTTTTTTTACATGCTTACATATGATAGTATTGATAGACTATGGCGGACACAAATAAATTAGGTCACAAATCTATTATTTGGGAGGAATTCCGAAACGAGCTACCACTATGAAATGAAATGTAGAATAGAGGGTTTAGGGTTAAGGTTAAGTAAGGCTAAGGCTAGGGTTAGGGCGTTAGGGTTTGGGTTAGGGGTAGAAGTAGGGTCACTGTTAGGATTAGGTCTCTTTTTTTATTGTGTTTGTTATATTGCAGGGGGTGGTCGCTCGTTATGGAAGTGAAGTCCTTCCAATTAATTTCAAGAACATGTTGAACCTAAAACAATGAGGCCTTGGCCTGTAAAACATAAAGTTATGGCGGAAAACCAAAAGGCCTCCTGAATCCCTCAGATTTTTTTTTTACCTCAGGGGATGCTGGAGCCAGAGAACTTCCTAAAATCTAAAATTTTGGGATATTTATATTATAATCCAGTTTTGGTCCCAACGATAACTATGGAGTGTGGGTTTTGGCTTCACCGACGATTGCTTCTGGTTCTAAACGATTACTTTTCGATGCGCCTGGCGACATGATGTTTCACGCACGGCAAACAAGAGATTAAAACCTAGATCTAGGCTAAATTGAAATGCAAAATCAAATTATCATTAAATTCTGGGGGGGCATGCACCC